GAGGAGGAGGAGGAGGAGGAGGAGGAGGAGGAGGGTGAGGAGGAGGAGGAGGAGGAGGAGGAGAAGGAGAAGGAGAGAGGAGATAGGAGGAGGAGAAGGGAGGAAAGGAAGGAGGAGCAGGGAGGGAGGGATGGACGGAGGCCCACGGGGCAGCCGCGCCGCGCCGCGTGCAACGCCACGTGGGCGGCCGAAGCCCCGCGGCAGACGCTGGGGCGCCGGCTTGGACAGCGGCGCGGCAGGGGCCATCGCCGGGGGGGGCGGCGACGACTTGGACAGCCCCTGCGGGGGCTGCGCCGGCGCCTCGGCGGGCGAGGAGGCCACTCGACGTCCGGGCGTGCAAAGGTCGAGGATTGTCCTCCTCGTCCCCCTCCTCCATACGCCCTTCCTTCCCCTTCTCACACATCCCGCCTCCTCCTGCTCCTCATCCGCAATTCGCATTCGCAACAGCTCCCTTCCGGGCATCCACCGGGTGCTTTTGTGATGGCTGTGCTGCTTGTTGTTCCCAGTCCTCCTGTGTTGCGTGCCCGTTTTTGACTCGGTAGAGCACTGCTGCCTTCCCTTTTGCTCCTCCTTCCCGCCTCCTCTTCCGTCCTGCCTCCAGTTTCCTCGCCTCCCGCGTTGCTGCCAACTGCGCAACTATCGCATTTTTCGTGAGCTCCTGACAACGCCCAACATGCATCCAAACTAGACCTCGCCCCCAAGGGTGCTGCCAACTGCGCAGCGGTCGCTGCTCTCGCGAAGTCCTGGGACGTCCAGCGGAGTGGCGCCACCTCGGCTCCGAGTGAGGCTTCGTCCCCATGGGCGCTGCCAATTGCGCAACTGCCACCACACTCGAATGCTCCTGGGAACCCCAGCGGAAGTGGGCCCCACTGGGATACAAACGAGACCGTGTCTGCATGGGCGCAGTCGAAGGCTAGCGGATGGCGGCCTTACGGATGCTCACACGGGACCTCGACCTCCCTGGGGCGCTGTCGGCTGCGGAGTGGCCGCCAGTTTCGCGTGAGACGCTTGACGGTCCAGCGGAGTGCGGTCGTATGGGGACTCAAACGAGGCCCTGCCCTCCATGGACACTGCCACTTGCGCCACCGTCAGCAGTTTCGTGATCTCGCGGGGTCCCAGCGGGGTGACGCCCTAGGCGGATGCATAGAAGACTCCGCCCTCCCTGTGCGCTGCCAACTGCGAGACTGTTTGGGCCGTTTTCGTGAACTCCTGCGAGGTCCAGCGGAGTTACGTACGGCTTGCGGGAATTCTAATGGGCCCTCTCCTTCCTGGGCGCTGCCGACTGCGCAGCTGTCGCCACCTTCGCGACATCCTGAGAAGTTCATGGAAGCGACGTCTTACGAGGATCCATGCGAGACCTCGCCATCCTTGGCTGCTTCGAATTGATGATTCACTTGTGGCCACTTTTGTTAGCTCCTGAGAGGGTCAGCGGGGTGCGGTCTTACCCAGATACTAGCGAGCTCTCGTCTCCATGGGCGAGGTGAGCCGCATAACTGTCTCACCTTCGTCACGCGTGTCCAGAGATCGTTTCCCTGATTTGGGCTCAGCGGTCTCCTCCATCTCCTTCACTACCTTTCCTCTCCTCCGTCCTTCTTTCGTAACCCCCATCCACTTCCTCTCCTTCGGTACCGCCTCGTGATGTCCCACTGTGCGTGCAATGAGTGGTTTCCCCACGTAACTTCCACGAAAGACCACGTGGCCGCTCTATTTGTTCGTTCGTCTTGGGCGGGCCCGTTGATAGTGCCCCTTGTTTCAGATGGCTTGGTTACGGTACGCGTCGTTAATTTCTAATCGTGCTCATTTCTAATTGTGCTCGTTTCTAATTGTTCCTGGCCCCCTGGTGGCCAGGAAAAGGCCCAGGATAGAGCAATTAGAGATGAAAGAATCTCGGCCCCTCCAAAAGAATCTTTCGAATCAACAGAAAAGAACAATGTGTACGTCCTTTTGATCAATCATGAGAAACCTATGGGAGCCTCCGGAGCTCCGCCGGCCTGGAGCCTCATGGGGACCTCCCGTCGAGGGAACTCGCGGGACCTCCAAAATTCCAACCCAAGCCTAGCGGAGGACCGGAGGGGGGACGGTGACCACCAGCGTACGAGCGTGCCCATGCGAGAGCGCCCTTCAAAGCGTAAACCACCACCACCATAAGACGAATCCAGGACGAGAAAAACATCGGGTGAGGATAACTCGAGACTCTGAATTCTGGCGGCTCTGGAGGATGTCTAGGGCGCGACTGCCTTCTCAGAATTTTCTGGACCGCTCTGATAGCCTTCCGGAACGCTGCGGGACGGATTATTCTTGTCCTAGCCCCGCCCGGCGTGTGCCCTTGCGAGAGCGCCACCCAAAGCGAACACCACCACCGCCACCCCTGGCCCCCCCCCCCTCCACGCGATTGTGGTGGTACCCCTGCTTCCTCCAAAAACGGGGAGAGGGGCCGGCGTCCGATGCAGCAAATAAACACACAGACACACAACCACAGACACACACGGGCAACCATAGACACACACGCAGAAACACAGGGACACACTCAGACACACAGGCACACACAGAAACACACATTCACACACGCACACAAACAAGCAGACACACAGACAACACGGACAAACAGACACACTGACACACGCAGACACACACAGACACACAGACACGCAGACACAAAGACAGACACACAGACAGACACACAGAGACACACGAAGACACACAGCGACCCACACACAGACACACGCATACACACATTGACACACACAGACACACACCCAGGCACACACACACACACGGACACACAGACACACACACACACGCACACACAGACGCACAAACAAACAAACACACACACACATAATCCAAAAGCCGGAATTGGGTAAGAATTCGTTTTTTTTTTTTTTTGTTTCGACCCCCCCTCTGTCACAGAGGGGCGCTGACTCTGTCACGGAGGGGCTCGTTCTGGGTGCTCTTCTGCCGCGGGGCCTCCCGCTACGACTGGAGACGATAGAAGGGGTGAAAAATTTGATGGCGGGATGGGGGGTTGGGGGGGGGAAGGAGAAGAAATCGATGAAGGAGAGGAGGCAACGACAGCACCGACGACAGCACCGTTTCTTTTTCCTGTCCCGCTCAGGCAGCGGTCGCCGAGCACGAAGGCACGCGCGACCCGCCGCCGCTCACGCTGCGCTGCCATGGCCGCCGCTGCTGCGGAGGGGCGATGTTCGGCCGATGGGGCTTCCTTCCGCTGCTGCGGAGGGGCGGCCCCTGCGCGACGATTCAGCTCGGTTCCCTCCAGGGATTCGGTTGTTCAGGGTCTTCGACCCACCTCCAGGTGGTCACGCCCTCCCAGCGCCCCTGGTCGCCACTCGAGCGTGTGTGGCTGCTCCACCAGTCATTGGGGCGCGCGCCGTTGCCGAAAGCATGCTGCATGTTGCGCCAGGCGGATTGTGCCCTGTAGTCCTGCGGCGAGGAAGCCGCGCCGCTTGGCCGTTGCGACTCGCGTTCCTCGCCCTCCCTGCTGCGCCGCCATTCCCAATATTTGCCGCGCCACTCATCCCAGCGCCACTCCGCGTCTGTTGGGTGCTGCCATTGCGTCTGTGGCCGCCGCTGCTGCGGGGGCGCTTCGCGCGGCTGCTGCTCTGGCAACCCTGACCCTCGCTGCTGCGGGGGCTCTAAGGGCCGTTGCGGCGTCCACTCCTGCGGCTCCTCCAGCGGCGCAGGCCCTGGAGCTGGCCACTGCGGGGTCTGCCGCCATCTTGGGGGGCGATATGTAATTATTTCTATAATGGCCTCCTTCCCGTTGAACTCCCGCTTCCTTCCCGACGCCCACTTCCTGATGTCATCCCTCGTCCTGCTCAGCCTGTTCGTCACACACACACGCACTCTCTCTCTCTCTCTCTCTCTCGCCCCTCCTGCCCTCCCCGCGCTCCCCCCCCCCCCCCCCTCGTGACCCGCCCGCCGCGACCTTGCATCGCCAGCCGCGGGCCAGGCGCGGTCGCCGTCCTTGTCTTCGTGTGCCCATGTTGATGGGCGCGACGCCTGGTGGTCGCTGTCGTTTTGCTCGCCCCTCTCGCGGCGCCGCTCTGGTGCCTGGCGCTCGGGCCCGCGCTGCTCCTCTAGCCTCAGCCTCGGCGCGCCTCTGTTCCTCACGCTCTTTCGCTTGTATCTGGCGTCCGGATTCCTCTGACAGCGTCAGTAAACTCGCGGGCGTCTTTTTTCGGGCAGTAGCAATCGTACGGCCCCCCAGGGCCTTGTGTCTTGCTGTGGTGCCAGTACCTCGGCTCCGATGCTGGGCTGCTGGAGGCCCCCGCTGCTGCGGGGGCCTCTGCCTTGCTTGTGTTCCGGTACCCAGTCACACCGATCACCGACTTGCTTGTGAAGAGCAACCCCGTCTCGTCTCTGTCGTGCAGGGCGCTCCGCGGCCAGCGCAGGCTGTGCTCGCCAGGCCTGTTGAGAACGAAGATGCCGCAGCTGTCCAAGCACGGGGTGCCGTCCAACCCGCGCCAGAAGCACGCTGCTGCCGTCTCGAGTCGCAAGCCTAGACCCCGAAGACGTGGAAGCGTCTGTGCGAGCGCCATGTTGAAATCCCCACAAAGGATGTCAACATTGTTCTCCTGCAAGATGGCCGCCAGCCTCGGCCACGTCTTGTGAGCCGCCTTGAAGCCTGGGTAGGCTTTCGCCGTGTCGCGGTGGAGGTGCGCCGCGCACAACCGCATTTTCGAACGGAAGTGGGCGTAGGTTTGATCGAAAGATATCTCAGCCACCATGATCCTCAAGAACGCTTCCTGCTTGTTCCCGCGAGCAGTCTCGTAGTGGCCGTCGACGCTCCTTTCCCAGTGGAGTAGCTGCACTCGGTGGCACAGGCATGCGCGCGCAGCGATGCACAAGGACTTTTCCTCACGCCCGCGCAGGGTCAAGTATTCCCACTCTGGTCGACTCTGGAGCTGGTCGCAATCGCCAGCACTCGCAGCAGGACTCCCTCTTGCTGTCGCCGTCGCTGCAGCGGGCGCCCCCGCTGCTGCAGGGGCGCCCGCCTTCAGCGGCGGTGGTTTTCCTGGCCGCTGTAGGCCTCGCATTCCGCAAAGCACGCCAGGAGAGCAGGGCAATGCCGCAGCTGCAACTCAATTCTCCGCCGCTGGTCATGGTTGGCTTCCTCGCTCGGCAGGGGGCCCCAGTACCCGAACACGACGGAAAGGTCGCCCGCGTTGTCATTCCGCGGCGCGCTCGCGTTGGCCAGTCGACGCTCGCAGAAGAGCTCGGCAGGGACGGTGTCACGGTGAACGGATCTGCGCCGTTGGACGTCGTCGGGCGGCGCGCAGCCCCCAAAGGCCGGCTGATC